CCAAGGAGTGAGTGAAATGATACGCTTGAGCGGGCCGTTGGCCTCTAGTGGATTGTCTTAGCACACACTTCCCAAACATGAAGAACTCAATCCAAGCACCACGGCAAGCCTGTTTCTCCACACAATCAGATTGGGTGTCCCATGCATCACTTCGATTAGTCTGCACCACTCGACTCAATAATTTTCCATATTCCTCTCGTATCAAAGGTACCAGGGAGAGAGGCAAGAACTCCTTCGTGAGCACGTTGCATAAGAAGACGTCTTGAAGAGTGGGGAGTTGAGAAACGTCGCAACTGTCTCGTCCTCTTACAACCAGGGGAGCCGAACAAGATAATTGCTTACCTCGACATCTAGGGTGCACATCGTCGCGGATTTTTTGGGACAAACTCAAGCCGCAGTGCCTACACCTTTTCAACACGTGCGCAGTCAACCATGCATCCGACGGTAAACCTGGCAATTCGGCAGCCAAATGAAGGTCAACGTGAGCCCGCAAAGCCTGCTGAGATGAAAACCCAATCCCGACCCGACCCTGAGCGCGCGAACACGCGTGCACAGGACACCATATGCCTTCACTAGATGTGCTCGGATGCCCTGGCTCCTGTTGCTCACGTAAAAGCTCCGCAGCCGTAACATCTTCTCCGAAAAGTGTGGCTAATTGAGCATCAACCAGTGTCAGACTATCCCTGGGAAGCAAAATATCCCTGCCCATCGAGACATCCTCATCGACCTCCATGGCGCACGACTCGCCCAGAGGACGTTTCCAAGAAATGCTACCCTCGTGTCCATGTCCAGGGAACCAAGGGTAAGCCCATAAAAGACAAGCCCACAACAGTCGTCCGACAACGCCAGTTGACTTCCAAAGCCCACCTCCAACTAGAACAAAAGTGAGAATTCGACACCATTGAAGGGGCAAATGACAATCGATGATCCTGAGCATGATAGCGATCCCCAAGAATCCATATTCCCTTCCACGACCCCAACGAAGGATCCAATAACAGATAATAAAGTGTCCGAATCGTCGGTAGAGAGAATCAAGGCAAGATAAACACCTACCCCAACATCCCCCCAAGTACGCAAGGCAACCTCCCATCCGCAGATGACTACTCATTGGAGACTGCCGACTGCCGACAATCGCCGCTGCACAAGATCGTACATGTTGGAGATAGAAAAGGCTCGCGGCACTAACCCATCCAATCCTATGTGAGGACCGACATTCCCGTTGATATCTTTGAATGCGAGGAGCAAGTCCATCAGCAGCCTGATGAATTGACCCCCACACTCCAGCATATCCCACGAGGAAGATTCCCAGAAGGACCCGATGTGCGTTCCGTCTTTGGAACCCAACCAACCGAAGCCCTCTGAATCTCCGATTTTTACGACTAGTTCTACCGGCAGCATGTTCTGTCAGTGTCCAAGCCCGAATCATGTCAAATCCCAGCAAAGCCAATCCCACCAAACCGCAAGCAAGACCCAAAAGAACCAGCGGTGGGGGGGGGTCGCACCCTTCCATGTAGCCGGTCGTAGCACCGGCTGCTCGCTAGCAGTGTCGGCGCCCCATGGCTCACGACTGGTCCCAGGACACTCTTTTCGAACCCTCTCTGGACGAGACAGTTGCGACGTTTCTCAACTCCCCACTCTTCAAGACGTCTTCTTATGCAACGTGCTCACGAAGGAGTTCTTGCCTCTCTCCCTGGTACCTTTGATACGAGAGGAATATGGAAAATTATTGAGTCGAGTGGTGCAGACTAATCGAAGTGATGCATGGGACACCCAATCTGATTGTGTGGAGTATAATAGATTCATATTTCGATCAAATAGATGTGTGTTCCAAAAAGCACAATGCATTACGAAATCTTCAGTATGTGGCTTCGAGCTACACGGAACGAAAATGTGGCCATAATGATATTGGGGAGCGTTGGGAATCAATTAATTTGGATTATAAGCCTATTATATTTGAGAATTTTGGGGGGATCGAATAGGGAGGCATGATTCTTCTGCCCAATCGATGATATGGATTATCAAAGAGAAATTATTTGGCCAATTTAATTTTTAATTTGTAATGAAGGCTCCACAGTGCTTTGAACATATAATAAAAGATAGAGGTGGGGAGTCTTCAAGATATTAAATTCCTTGAAGTTTTCTTACACTTAATATAAGTCTCTTTCATTTCTCTCATAAATCTTTTTATGAATTTCTATCAGAAATTCATATGAAATAGTATTTTTAGGAATATATATCTCTTACTCCGAAAATATATAGAAAATCTTCGAATTAGGCGTATCATATTAGATAATTTCGTAACCAGTATGGTCTCTCCAGAATCCATTTTTTTTAGATATGCCGAGACTCTTTGTTTTTAGATATAGTCGTATATAACGGCAAATTTGGCGCGAGAATTTAAAAATCTATTCGTGATCTCTAGGGAATTTAACACTTAGTATTAGAACCGCCGTCCCGGGAGCCGGCTGGATTTTCATTAATTTGTAGAATAAGCTTCGTATTGGAACCGCCGTCCCAGTAGAAAATGTTGGTACCTTCTCTACCGTCAAGGGAATGGTGAAGGCTAAGTAGAGATGAACTGGAACCTTATGTCCAAGTATAAATCCTGAATCAATCCTTTCAGAATCAAGTATGTGGTTGGATGCTCTTCTTCGGGCAGGTCTCTACACGTAAGATGGAAACGCTCACACAGCAGATGAGGATGGGTCCCGGTAGCTTACACTGATCTCAGCAAGGTGAAAGACTCTAACAAGAAATGTAAGAATGTTGAGGCTGTTAACCAGTTAAAGTAGGTGGAAGTAATAACGACCTATTTACAGCAAGCAAAAGGGCTACAGAAGCACTCCTTTTTACTTGAGCCAAACATGGTCCGTAGATGCTCGCCTTGACTTCTCGTCTTCTTGGGGGACGATTTCATTGTATGACGGTTCCTCGTCTTCTCGGGGGACGATTTCATTGTCTGACGGTTTCTCGATGTTTCTCGTCTTCTTGGGGGACGATTTCATTGTATGATGGTTTATCGTGTTCTTGGGGAGACGATTTCATTGTATGATGGTTTCTCGATATTTCTCGTCTTTTCGTTGATTTGTAGTACAAGCTTAGTACTGGAACCGCCGTCCCCGTGAGCCGGCTGGAGTTTCGTTGATTTGTGGTACAAGCTTAGTACTGGAACCGCCGTCCCCGTGAGCCGGCGGGATTGTCATTGATTTGGAGCACAAGCTTAGTACTGGAACCGCCGTCCCTGTGAGCCGGCGGGATTTTCATTGTTTTGTAGTACAAGCTTAGTACTGGAACCACCTTCCCCGTGAGCCGGCTGGATTTTCGTTGAATTAACAAGCTTAGTACTGGAACCGCCGTCCCCGTGAGCCGGCGGGATTTTCGTTGATTTGTAATACAAGCTTAGTACTGGAACCGCCGTTCCCGTGAGCCGACGGGATTTTCGTTGATTTGTACTACAAGCTTAATACTGGAACCGCCGTCCCTGCGAGCCGGCTGGATTTTCGCTGATTTGTAGCACAAGCTTAGTACTGGTGTCGCCTGCCTGCCACGATGCAGCAATCAGGCCGTTTTATAACGTCATCGTTTTTTCTTGGTTATCGCTTTACGAGTCAGGGGCGCTGCCCCAAACGCTTAGGGCAACTCCTTTCATAAATTGAATGCGCCGGGGTTTTTGTACAACCCCACTTCAAGTGCCAAGAAAACCGGTTTCCTTGAGTGTAAAAATGAAAGAAGAAACAAAAGAAAAGAAAGAACAAGAAAGAAAGAACAAAAAAGTGAGGAAAAGAAAGAATGACTGAACGAAAAACTGATAATAAAAAGATCGGATATGAAATTGACAGCGATGTTTGAAAGAAGTACCGCTGCCTCTGTGCAATCACCCACCGTGGAAGGCCTACTCTGGGACCCGAAACCCTTAACCCTTAAGAAAGGGAATAAGGACTTACTCAGGGTTCCGAAGAATGACCAATAGTAGTAGCACAGGGTACTATTTAGGGTACTATATACTAGACCTTAAGGATTCCCAAGCATGACCCGGGCGTGGTATACTTGGAGGTTCAGGGTACTTGTAACCCCAGTTTTAACTGGACATGTAAGCTGCCTAAGTCCCCTAAGGGCTCTACTTTTTGGATCCTCCCAGACGTCTGGGCCGGGCCTGCGATGCAGTTCGCGTTGAAGACTGCCAGATTCGCGGGGGCCCCTGGCATGCTGCTAGCAGATCTGTGAACAGTGAGCACCCTAAACCCTAAACCCTAAACCCTAAACCCTAAACCCCTAAACCCCTAAACCCTACACCCTAAACCCTTCTGCCGCCGGGCTTTTCTCAGATCTTGTCTGAACCCAAAAGCCCTCAGTAGCTGGCAACCATCCAAGTACTTCAGCCGTTTTTGCAGGTAAGGGTGGGGAAGTCGCTGCCTCGTACAAGTAGATCGTGTTCAATCAGTCGTTCCGGGTTTAGGGTTTAGGGTTTAGGGTTTAGGGTTTAGGGTTTAGGGTTTAGGGTTATTGGTTTAGAGTGCCTCGAAACTGCAATTGTAGGTGGAGGCTCGGCACCCCTTAGAATCCTGGGCTGTGCTGCGTAGCATGTGCTTGCGCTATGCATACGACATCATAGAATGTAAGCTTTCCATCGGCTGCTCTGCAGGGGCGCATGTCTTAGCCTTCTCAAGAACCTGCACTGCTCTTCGGGGCTCTCTCGAACAGCAGCGCTGGGAGCCTATACAGCCCGAAAACATCTTTCTTTGTGCGTTGGTCTCTTGCAAGTATATAGCCTTACATTAGGCCTCGTCAGCTGGAGCGTCAGAGGATGACATCCCGGATGACACACGTGCTGCTAAACTGTGGTACACAGAGGAGCAAGATGGTCTTAAACCACCAATTTGTCAAAAAAGCCACGGCTGCGGGAATAACACAGCACGTTGCAGCGAAGGGACGGCTGACCTGGGAAAGCCTTTGGCTGCCCGGGCCAACATCGAAGCGAACGTGGCGCGGAAAACATGGAGCTAAGCGCTGTCGGAGATACATCGGGGAGGGCAGTGGCTTGCAAGGTCGGGCGTGGGATTGTCGCAGCCGCAGGTCTGTGGACAAATGGGGGCCAAGGGCTGAAGCAGATCAGGGTGACCCTTGCACCATACGGTTCCAGTGATGAAGTCGGACGGGTGCTGCAACAGTGCTGGACATCCAGCAATAAGCATGGCGTGCATGGTTTGGTTCATTTCTGGGAAGGCAGCCGTGTGCGCCAGCTCCTGTCCTACATGAAGTGATACGACTGTCGGGTATGCAGTCCAGAAGGCGCGCCATCGATCATCCATGGGCGAATCTTCGCAGGTGTGGTTCTGCAAACTCCGCCGTCCGATCTCAAGGCAAGCGGAAGAACAACCTTGAGCTTCAACCCTAAACCAAGCAATTCCAAGTGGATCTAGGCATCCACACGTCTCTCCACACATCATACGCAGCAATCGTGAGTCGGGCTGGTCGCACAGGTGCCGCAACTCTTCGCAGCCTTGTTTGCCTGGGAGTCCTGCATGATTTGCCGCTGAAGTAAGCAGCATGTCTGTCAGAGGTCGCAAAACTGGATCTGTGTGCCACTGGCCTCCCTCATTCAGAACCATGGTCTCCGCACAGAAAGGAAACATGGAGGCTTCCTCCTTCATGCTTCGAGACGTGTCTGCCCGGAACATGTCTACGTCGCTGGAGAACCTGATGTTTGCCGAGATGGCATCAGGCGATGAGTCTTTGTGAACTAGCACTGCAAACTCTGTAGCTGAGAGATTCCGGGCATTGCGAGAGGGGGCAGTTGCCAAGCCGATCGTTTGCTGTGTATCTGTATTGTAAGAGACAACGAACGTCTGGATCCCTCCGCAAAGCTCGTTCTTCACATCCAGCATGGTGTCAGTGAGCGGCGCCAGCAAGACAAAGTGAGACGTTAAGACGAGCACCAGCAGCGAGGTTAAATGAACGCCAGACTCATACTGGCTGCGACGGCGGCTGTACTTGATGCGCATAGGCTTGATGTTCTGCACGGCTCGTTGGACCCTGACAGGCGTCATGCCGGCAAACAAGAATTCATCGACGTCCAGGATGGCATTGAGAGCCACTGCCTAGACCAAGGAGTAACCTAGGAATAAACAGCGTGCCCTTTTGGGCTTTAAGGGGATCCTAAACCCTAAACCCTAAACCCTAAACCCCAAACCCTAAACCCTAAACCCTAAACCCCAAACCCTAAACCCTGAACCCTAAACCCTAAACCCCAACCTTACAAAAGGAGATAAGGGCCGACTCCAGGTCCTAGCTGCGTTCAGCATCAGCTCTTCGATGGAGGTGGTGCGAGCCTTGGTAGCCCAGTTTAGGGTTTAGGGTTTAGGGTTTAGGGTTTAGGGTTTAGGGTTTAGATTACTGTACAAAGGAACCCGGAACCAACAAAAAGGGTAAAGGGCACCACTCGGCTACCCGGGAGCTAGCCATAGTATGCCGGCCACCAGCAGTACACAGGCGATGGCAACCCGTGCGAGGTATGTCCTATACTCCCCTTAGAACCTTCGTAAAAACATCATATTTTTAATATCCTCTTGGGTTTTGTATAAACAGAAAATAGAAAATAATTTTCCGAAGGGGGATTTAAGTGTCGTCAGGAGCACCGAAAAGCGCCCCCAGGACATGCTGACAAACGCGTTCTCGCGGAAAAGGGTGCTTCGAGATTTCGGAATTGTGCTTGCAGCTTCTAGCTGCAGCCAAATTCGGCGGAACTCCTGCCAGTAAGTGTGCAGAGTTCACGTGCAATTTGTGTTCTGGGTTTGTTTAGGGTTTAGGGTTTAGGGTTTAGGGTTTAGGGTTTAGGGTTTAGGGTTTAGGGTTTAGGGTTTAGGGTTTAGGGTTTAGGGTTTAGGGTTTAGGGTTTAGGGTTTAGGGTTTAGGGTTTAGGGTTTTGCCCAGCTCCTACACACTCAGTTGAGGTCATTAGACTGAGTCTAGAGTCTATGAGGGGCACCTTATTGAGGTCTTTATTCTAAGGGAGTCCTACTATTGGGGGGTCTAGTTGAGGGGTCCCCTCTATTTCCGTAAACCCCCAGATCACGGGCCATGCAGGTCCATAAGCCCTAAACCCTAAAAACTTCGGGTTTAGGGTTTAGGGTTAAGGGTTAAGGGTATGCAGTTCTTTCGTCCTTGTAGACGCAGAGGCTCCACAAAATGATGCACAGCATGCAAAGAAGAACACCCGGCTGGAACATGGGGCGTTGAAAGTCCGACTCCTTCATTCCCATGAAGCTGTTGATATGCTCGATCAGGGTTGCCTGCTCGAATCCCTAAACCCTAAACCCTAAACCCTAAACCCTAAACCCTAAGCCCTAAGCCCTAAACCCTAAACCCTAAGCCCTAAACCCTAAACCCTAAACCCTCAACCCTAACCCTAAATCCTAAACTGTTGCCTGCGTTGTGGACAAGATTAAGGCGCCATCTCCGGCGCAAACTCTGGACACCAAGCTCGTGTTGGCCAAGTCGATGTACCTTGGGCACCACATGAACCCTACATTTGGGGTCACCTACCCTATGCTATTGCATCCCTGTGAAATTATATGGACCAAAAATAACTTTTTCGGATTCAAATAGCCCCCATGGTACTTATAGTCGTGGGCCAAACTCGTCCGCCAGACCCTCGCACTCTCCACCTAGCGAAGAGTTGTGAAACTCAGTGTCCCGCAAAAAAGGGTTTGGTCTACAGGGCTCTTAGGGTTTACTTGTTTATTACTTGTAGGGTCCACGGGCTTTAGGGTTGTGTGACTAGCTATTTCTCCCGTTTTTTTCTCCCGTTCGGACGCATCTTACCTTAGCCGGGGTCTGCCGTCCGCCTGCGAATCTCGGAATGTTCGACCTTGTTGAGCCCGCAGCCATCCAAGCCAAACGCTAGCAGCCACTGTTTAGGGTTTAGGGTTTAGGGTTTAGGGTTTAGGGTTTAGGGTTTAGGGTTTAGGGTTTAGGGTTTAGGGTTTAGGGTTTAGGGTTTAGGTTTAGGGGTTAGGGTTTAGGGTTTAGGGTTTTGGGTTTAGGGTTTAGGGTTTAGGGTTTAGGGTTTAGGGTTTAGGGTTTAGGGTTTAGGTATGTAAACCAGAGCAAATCCTGACCGCGTAAGGTCTCTATGCAGAGTGAAGCTTACACCCCCTAAGTTCTACGACAATGGTGCTGCAAAATCTTTCGTGGTGCTGCAGCCCCCAAATCCAAGCAGGTACGGACAACTTCAAGCCTAAGTAACACCCGCCTTGGACTCAAATCCGCTGCCGATGAAGGTATCCTTGGCATGGAACGGATGTAGGGTTTAGGGTTTAGGGTTTAGGTTTCTTGGTGGATGTTCCTTCAATATTCAACGCGCGCAACTGGGGATATGAACTGCGTGATCTTGCAGCGCTCTATCTTGCTTAGGCGATGACCAGGGCGACCTAACAGTGCTCTGGCGCGCCTTGTGGCTGCTGTCTGCCATCTACAACCTACAACCACAGAAAGGGATGGATGGAATTGACAAGCGTCTGTGAGGAGAACCGCGGAAAAGGCAGCCTGCATACCTAGGTTCAGGATGATCAGCATGCCAGCGAAGAGCTTGTCAAACCAGCCGACATCTTCTGCCAAACCTGCTACCACGGGAATGCTCCAGGCACTTTCTTCGAAACGGACTTCGGACAACCCTTCGCAGGAATCATCGCTGCTGGCCATTCCAAGTTCTGCCTTCTGTCCCCCCTCAACATCCGGCTCTGCCTCTTTGGAGGTCTGGAAGCAGCTTTGCTTATTCCACTCACACTCCTCCTGCATGCTGTTCTCCACAAGGGGCCGGTGCTTTTCACAGAGCCCCAGGTGAGCCTCCACTAGTTCTAGCCGCGCGAGGATGCGTGCGATGTCAGCCTGAAGCTGATCTCGATGCTGCGAGAAAGGCAAAGGACTCTTTTCCGACAGATGCCGCTGGCCATAAGGCATCTCCACCTCGATCCGCTCGATGGCACCATGCTTCTCCTCTTCAGAGTCGTTGCCGCACGAGCAAGCTGGCATGACGTCCACCATGGCCCGACAAACAACTGCAGAAGACCACGCAACAGGATCGTGTCTAACTTGATGCGTTTGTCACGGGAAAGCCGGTGTTTTCAAGGACAAAAAATTCCAGATGCACAGCTTCTTCTTTTGATCCGTTCGAAGATCTCTAGCCATGAAATCAGCCTCTAAGGCGCTTGAAAACTGGAAGGGTTAACAAGCAGCAGAACGCATTGTTTCTCAAGCTTCGCGTCAATTCTGCTGTTTGTGGGCGACTCTCTCTCTCTCTCTCTCTCCCTCTCCCTCTCCCTCTCCCTCTCCCTCTCCCTCTCCTCTCTCCTCTCTCTCTCTCTCTCTCTCTCTCTCTCTCTCTCTGTCTCTCGCTCCGTACAAACAAGTGCACTATCCTAGAGCTTGCCCTTACGAAAGGCGCACCTGATGACCCTCAAGCCCCAGCAGCCCGCTCCCCTGCAACAACAGGGATGAGGGTTGAGGGTTTAGGGTTTAGGGTTTAGGGTTTAGGCCAAACTCTAAACCAAACTTAAAACACACCCCCCCCCCCCGCCCCTGCGCAAAGGCTTTGTGTGGCACAGTCCGCCTCGAGCCTCGGCGACTGCGGCCGTGGAATGCTGTAAAAGCACACTCCCGCGGCCGCTGGTTGGCCTGTCTTGGACTTCGGAGGTTGTATAGGGGAGGAGACGAGTCAAATAAATCAGGCTCATACATGCAGGGTAAAATGTTAAAAACGAACCCATTTACAATCAGAGCCTCTCAAGCATCTCCTAGGAAACCAGGAGGGTGTAAGGGGCCAAAAGTCCCCCAAATGAGGCGGGTTTAGGGTTTAGGGTTTAGGGTTTAGGGTTTATTAGAGTTTAGGGTTTAGGGTTTTGGGTTTAGGGTTTAGGGTTTAGTGAGGCTTTAATAATCCCTAATCAGGGAAGACGGGCCACCTCTCCGCTCTGGATCCTTCTGGACACCCCCCGGGATGCATGGCAAAACCTGAAACCCAAAAGTCATCAATTTCGGGTCTAGGGTTTAGGGTTTAGGGTTTAGGGTTTAGGGTTAGGGTTTAGGGTTTAGGGTTCCTTCTGGTCAGTTTCGGTGTTTCGGCTCGACTTGGGGCTCTGCAAATATCAGTGGCCATCGTGCATCAGGAGCCCCCTCAGCGAAATTGAAGGACCTTCAGTGTTTAGGGTTTAGGGGTTTAGGGGTTTAGGGGGTTTAGGGTTTAGGGTTTAGGGTTTAGGGTTTAGGGTTTAGGGTTTAGGGTTTAGGGTTTAGGGTTTAGGGTAAATTACACCCGCCAACTTGTATAGGGACCGCCCCTTATGCACTCACCAATCACGGCAACACAAACCTTGGTGCATCTGAGTTGGGCACTGTTTTCACCTTCTAGGATGGCGCTAAGAATCCTCTGAAAAAGGGCTTAGGGTTTAGGGTTTACGGTTCAGGGTTTGGGGTTTAGGGTTTAGGCTTCCTGAATATGATCCTCTTAAACCCAAGAAGGGAAGATATCAAACGCCCCCAAAGGGCCTTTCCGAGCCCCTTTTTTGGCAGACCCGCGCTGCCAGAGCGTCGCTAGCGTGATGGTGGCTTTGCAGTTGAGCAGAGCCACCCGTGGTTTAGGGTTTAGGGTTTAGGGTGTAGGGTTTAGGGTTTAGGGTTTAGGGTTTAGGGCTTAGGGTTTAGGGTTTAGGATCCGTGAGGCCATCCAAGCCCAGGTTCCGGAGCTGAGGGCTTTGAAGGCTTTGCATTGCCCACAGCAGGCCGGAGCCCTAACCCTAAGGGTCCATGCACCTACGTGGGGGCTTCCGAAATTCGGGGTGCCTTTTTGGGGTCCTTGTTCCGAACAAACCCTGCTAGTTGGGGGACTCTATTGGGGGTCCCGTATTTTCGTGAACCCATAGAACCCCATATAGTACATACTCGGGCCTTAAAGCTACTGTATGGCAACTCCGCTTAGGGGCTCATGGTATACACTATGTAGGTACATGGACCCTCAGGCTAAGCTGGCAGCTGTCAGCTAAGTGGGCTGACTTCCCAAAACCGATGAGGGTTTAGGGTTTAGGGTTTAAGGGTTTAGGGTTTAGGGTTTAGGGTGTAGGGTTTAGGTTTTAGGGTTTAGGGTTTAGGGTTCTTGAAACCTGATTCGATGTAGACTGTTAGACTCTTCGTCGTGACCACAAAGCTGAAGCAATTGAAGCGATGCTTCAGTCTCGAAACGTGCTTTGGGAATGAGCAGCCACCCTATTTAGTGCTGACTGGGTTCTTGCTGAGGAGCTTCGGTTGCCGTACTAAGGCTACTCATTATTTACCATAGAGACCCATTGTGGCTAACTTTCTGGGAGGTCCTCAACTTGAACCCAGTTGGGGGTTTACGAATCTAAGGGACCCCTCATAGACACACCCCCCAATTGTAGGATTCCCCTCTAATCAGGGCCCCAACAAGGTACCCCTAATTTCGGAAACCTAAACCTAAACCTTCAACCCTCAACCCTCAACCCTCAACCCTCAACCCTCAACCCTAAACCCGAATAGAGTTCACGAGGATGCGGAGGCATGCGGGATCGGCGTGCAGAGCGCACAATTGAAACAGCTCCCACGTGCCAATTCAGCGGGTATTCTAGACCCAAGAGTAACCTAGGAATAGAAACGGGTACCCTTCTAACCTAAACCCTAAAGAGCGGGAATAAGGGCCTACTCCGGGTCCTAGGAGTAGTCTAGTACGCGTGGACATTCACACATCTGTTGGGAAAGTTCCACACGGCATCTTTGCAAACAAACCTTAGCTGTCCGGGCAGTTTGTCAGCCAAAGCAAGGTGCGGCTGAAAAACTTCTCTGGGACTCTCGGCTTGTGTCATTACAGTTTAGCTAGGGTTTAGGGTTTATGAGGGGCACAACCACTGCTTTTCATGCTGGAAGCCGTGAGTTTGGCGACAAAACGTTATGCTACTGACTCATAAAGCCGAAACCCGAAACACTGAGGCGACTGAAGCGCGGACCACTCTTCAACAGCCTCTGCCTGAAGAGCCTTCAGACGACTTCCCCATGTACGCATGGCCCACACATCCTAAGCCCGAAAGCTTGCCACTGGGTGCAATGAGTTAGCCCCTTACACCTAGCAAGTCCTCAACCCTGGACATGTTAAACCCCTAAGCCCCTTCAAGCCAAACACCCTGACACCCTGACACCCTAACACCCTAACACCCTAACACCCGAACACCCTAACACCCTAACACCCGAACACCCTAAACCCTAAACCCTAAACCCGAAACCCGAAACCCGAAACCCAAAACTTAAAACCCGAAACGCGAAACCCTAAACCCTAAACCCGAAACCCTAAACCCTAAACCCGAAACCCTGGCGGCAGCCGAAGATGAACCCCAAACGAGCCCAAGGCCATAAACCCAAATTGGGTACAGCAAAGGACCCCCACCCCGTACACCCCCCAAAGCCAACCCTAAACCCTAAACCCTAAACCCTAAACCCTAAACCCTAAACCCTAGACCCTAGACCCTAAACCCCAAACCGTCTACCTAAACAGATCCTCAACCCTAAACCAAGAAGCGCTGCAACCAACTTGGCAAGGCTGTGGAGCCTGACAAGGGGGGTTGGGTTTTGGGCTTTGGGGTTCAGGGTTTAGGGTTTAGGGTTTAGGGTTTAGGGACTAGGGTTTAGGGTCTAGGGATTTGCATTCTATACCCCGTTTTCCGGGCTTTTGGGCGTTTGTCCCCGGCTCCCACAGACCCAGCATGCCCGCAAAGCCTGAAACCCTACACCCTAAATACTAAAAATACCCCAAATACCCTAAATACCCTGAATACCCTAAATACCCTGAATACCCTAAGTACCCTCAACCCAAAATACCCTAAACCCGAAATACCCTAACCCTAAACCCTACACCCCAAACCCTAAACACCCTGGGATCCTAAACCCTAAACCCTAAACCCTAAACCCTAAACCCTAAACCCTAAACCCTAAACCCTAAACACCCTGGGATCCTAAACCCTAAACACCACGAAGAAGGCCAGGGAGCTGGACCAGCGCGCACAGCACGGCCACGGCGTAGATCGCGCAGAGGAGCCAATTCATCAAGTTCCACTGGCCTGGGGCAGAAACTTGGGCCTTAGGCATGGGGTTTAGGGTTTAGGGTTTAGGGTTTAGGGTTTAGGGTTTAGGGTGTCGGGTGTCGGGTGTCGGGTGTAGGGTGTAGGGTGTAGGGTTTAGGGTTTAGGGTTTAGGGTTTAGGGTTTAGGGCTTAGCGTATTGTAGGCCTTGGGACTTAGGGTTTCGGTTAAGGGACCCCGGACCCCTAGGAGGAACCCGCAAAAGCTCGGGTGCTTAGGGTGTTGAAACCAAAAAATGAACCCAAACCCCTCCCCCCGCCTAGCCCCCTAAACCCTCAACCCTAAACCCCCAACCCCAAACCCGAAACCCTAAACCCTAAACCCTAAATGACCATGAATAGCAACTTCCTCCAAGTCGCTTTCGCCCTGTGAGCAGAGCGGCTGCTTGCAATGATCCCCGATTTCCTCCTCCAGGGTTCATAGGGTTTGGGGTTTAGGGTTTGGTGTTTAGGGTTTAGGGCTTCTAGGGCTTAGGGAGAGACCCTCCACACTAAATTCTTGCGCCTTACAGGCCCGAATCCCGAAGTCGAAACCCCAAAGCCCTCAACACTAAAACCCTCAAGCCCTCAACCCTAGAACCCAACACCTTCCACGCTACAACCCTGAAGCCCGGGGGCTATTAGAAGGGCTTGGGGTTCATGTCGGGTTCAGGGTTTGAGGTTTCGGGTTTGGGGTTTGGGGTTTGGGGTTAAGACGTTTGGGGTGCAGGGTTTAGGGTTAAGAGGGTTAAGGGTCTGAGGTTGCGGGCTTCGGGTGCCGCTTTAGGGTTTAGGGTTTAGGGTTTAGGGTTTAGGGTTTAGGGTTTAGGGTTTAGGGTTTAGG